GTAAAAAAATTTAACGTTTTGATTACCAATTTTGTAAAAACTGCAAAATTTCATTTTTGTATATATGATAACAAAGTAAAACATAAATTAAATCAAGAAAAACTTATTTATTTAACTATGTAAATATTATATAATAATTATGAATCTATTTGATTTAATTATTAATTATTAATACGATAATTCTACTACTATATACTCTTTTCTTATCCTATTCAGCTCTAAGTAATTGAAGCTTTTCGTCATATATAATTTAGAATCTTATCATAAGCTAACAAACGTTCTAGTATTTGCTCTTTATACACAAATACTTTTTTTTATTTTTTGAAAGTCTAGTTATTATGGTCATCAAAATGTAGCTAAAGTAGCAGATATGTAAGAGAATTAGGTATAATTAAGGTTAATGAATAAAACTTAAAAGTTTTGCAAGTTATCTAAATAGAAAAAGGTAAAATTTAGTGAAATTATATTAAAACCTTATTAAAAAATCTGTAAAATTCTGGAAAGGTAAAACTATATCAAAATTTATAAATGCAAAATTATATTAAAACCTTAGTAAAAAATTAGTGAAACTATAGTTTAGATATTTTGCCAAATCCAATATGAGTTTAGACAAATAATTTTAAATATAATTTAAGTTTATAACAAATTTTGCACATACAGTATACTTCTAGTTAATTATTATTTAAAGATATTTTATTACACCTTATGTCACTCTTTCAATTTTTTTTATTTCCCTTTTATTTCTCTTTATTTTAGTATAATCTTTGTATTTTGTTCAGCAAACTTCTAAAGCATGTCTTCTTTGTATATTTCTTCACTTTTTATTACATCTTGTTTATAAATTATCCATATTTATTTCAAGCTATTTTCATATATATAAGTAATTTTTTGTATCCTTTTTTATGTATTTCAGATGACTTGAGATCTTTAAAAATCTGATGTGATAATGAATCTGTTATATCAAAAATTATAACTAAATCTTCTACTAGTTTCCATAAGACCTTTCTTCTGGATTTGATGGCTTATTCACTTTGAGAAATTAAAGTATTCTCAAAGTATTCACTTAAAAGTAAATCAATTCTCTCTCTTTCTAATTAAACTGCTTTAATATTTACTTTTAATTTTTTTTCATTAATAATATTTTCGTTAATATTTTATTTTATAAAATAAACTCCAAAGATCTCAAGCGCTTCATCAAAACTAAAATAAACAGGCTTTAATTTTCACTTTCATTATTATCAATATTCTTTAGTATCTTAAATGCTTTAACGCATTGCAAAATTTCATTTAATTTTAGATATTTAGTTAAAGTAAAGAGATGTTGAGCGATAGTTATTGTGTAATTTAATTTACCCATACTTAAAAAAAGAGGTGATGCTATAACAAAAGCATCTCATTGCAAATTATGATTTTTAATTCTCATTTCTATTCAGTATGCTTTTCATATTCCAGTTTATTGATAATAAAGATACTAAATTTTTAGCAAAATATTGACATTAGTATTTTCATTCATTATTTCAAATAAATTAATATTTTTTTCTTAGTAAATATATTAATTGAGACTTCAACTGCTACTCAAAAGATCTAAGATTCTAGATGTTATTTAATAGTTAACAGCCATCTTAAACTTATTCAGAAATTAAATACCTAATCTTTTTGCTAATTTTAGAAGCCTATAACTAGAGAATAATACAATTAGAACTGAACAGAAATCTTTAGAGATGTGTCATTATCTAAACAATAATCTTAATTGAGACCATTGCTCTTAACATCTAATTAACTAATAATAAATAGTCTCGTCAGCAACTATATCGAGATATACAGTCTTTACAAATTAAAATTAGCTTTGTATATAGTGGTAGCTCTTAAGATTATTTGGTCTGAGTTTAGATTATCCCTGATTCAAGAATTACAATATGAGAGAAAGACCTTAACAGCTATATTCAATTCTTCTAGTATAGCTTTTTTAATTATTTCTACATTGATTATATTCTAAATTGCTTACATTTGTACTTTGAAAATCTAGCAAATTTTCTAATATACTTTAAAATATATTTAGAACTTCTTGCATAGTAAGATTTATACCAAATATATGACTATCTTCTTCTAAAGTAATTAATTCTTCTTAATTTGTTACTAAATAATTAGAAATTACTGATTGGAATACTATTCTCAAGATTGTATATAAATTTTTCTTATAGTATTATATATATTTTCAAAGGAGTTTTTTGTTTGAAGTTAATGTTATCTATAATTGCAAGATTCTATATATCTAATTTTTGATATAATCTTTATATAGGAATAGCATTATTAATTCGCTTCTTTTCTTGATTTCTTTTATAATATTCACTATATCCTATTACATTCTATAAAGAAAGAAGATGATAAAGTAATGATAATAATTTTATTTTGCATGCCAGACTGTTTAGCATATTAGTCAACCAAATATTACATGAAAGAAATGCTATACCAATAAGAACAGAAATAAAAAATGTAACTGTTTTCATAATTATATTTTTAGACAAAGTTTTAATGACTTGTTCTTGCTGTTTTTTTTATTATTAATAGTTAGTTTTCATTTATAGATCTCTATTAATATTTCTCTAAAAACCTATAATAAAATTCAGAAATATATGATAATATTTGAAAAGTGATTCTGGTGAGCTTAGTAATTCTTTTTCTCATTCATTGCTTTATATAATTTTCAGAGCTTAATTTTGAATTTTCATCTCAAACTTTCACAATTAATTATTTCTATATCAACATCTTATAGTTTATTTTTTGAAAATGTATCAAGGAAAAGAATTTGTATGACAAAAAGACTAAGAGTTTCATTAGATTTTATCAATAAAGATATAGTTTTAGTAGAGGTATAGAGAAAAGAAGAAGAACAGTTTCTACAATAGAATTCAAAATTTTCTTTTTTTTGAATCTTCGCCTGTATGGAAAATTTTAATAAGCCAATTTATAATAAAATTGAATTTTTTTGTGATATCTTATTTGTGTAATTTATTACAATTCAATTTTTTATCTCAACTTATATGTTTGTGAATATACCCACTTAATTATTCATAATAATTGTAATAGATACATCTTGGTTTATCTATTTTTAAAATCGTTCTGATATGAAAATTTCTTTTAATACATTAAAATATACCAATCCATTATAGAGTATTTGAATATTTCATTTATTAACCAATCAGAAATAGTTACTATATCCTTTCTATCTGTTATAAAAAATTATATATTATTTACATCCTATATATCTTCGATATTGAATTATAACATCTGAAGTCATAAATTCTTTTGATATTTTATCTTTGGGATTATAAATTTAATTTTGATCATATAAAAAATGTGAATCAAAACTCCTAAATAATTATTGTTAACTTGTTAAACTGTATCTTGATCAATTTGTCATGTTTCATATAAATTTTGTATTTTTTTAAGCTTATAAGTTTATCATATTATTTAATCATATCTCAAATATTATACAAAATATTAATAACAAAATAGATTATACTTTGAATTATTTGCAAGTGAGTCCTCTATTGTATTATTTAGAATTATTTTATTTCTTTCTCTTTCATATTCATTGTTAGTATTTTGTTTATCATCACTATTATTATTTTATTCTAATAACTCTATCTTAATTTTACTATTGTATTCATCTGCATATGATTCTATTTCACTATCTTCTTCATTTTCATGAGCTAACATTTTATTTAATGCATTGTTAAACCTAAAAGAAAGCTAATCAAAACTATTATTCTCAAGAAATTCTTCAAATATTTTGTTTTTACTATTTCTTTCAATATTTTTCAACCAAAATTCTTATAATAATATAGAATTGTTGTCAATTTTAAAGTTCAACATTGTAAAATATTATAAATTTATAAATTTTATCAAAATAGCATCAAAGAGTTAAAAACTTTAATTTATTTTTATTATTACTATACAAATAAATAAATAATGAAAGAAAAGATTGAAGATTGAATAAAATAAAATTGAAAAGAATAAAAAAGTTTTTATAAATTTGTAAATATAACTGTTTACATTATATAAACAGTATTTTTTCGTAAAAGTATAAAACTTTTATTTATTTACTATATAAACAAACAAAAATAAGTAACTTTTTTTGGATAGATTGAATTAAATAAACTTGATTTTTGAATTTTTAAAATATTTAAAAATATTTTTAAGACCTTGAAAAACATACTAATAATTATTTATAATAGTGTTATATTGTACAAACTAGAGACTAGACTCGTATTCATGTAACTTGAGTTAAATTTTGATTTAAATCAAAATTTAATAGACTCGAATCTTGATTCGAGTAAGAATTCGAGTAGACTCAAATTATATATACTCGAGTTCACTACTCGAATTCTTACTCAAATTAACTAATTGAATTATTCGAGTGCTTGCTACACTCAAGATATTAACATTTTATAAAATTAGTTACGAAGTAATTCTTAATAATTAATTAAAAATGCGTAGTAACTCAAATCTTTAGAGTTTAGAAAATAAATTTATAATTATATAAAATGTATTTATAAAATAATTATTCTTTTACATTAAAAATAAATACCAGATATTTTTATTCAAATTTTATATTGTAATTAATAAAATAAAGGTAGATCACAGGTTATTTCAAAATTTTGATACTATTATGCATGCAAACTGAAAAATCGATCTTATATTTATGGTTTAAAATTAATGAATAAAATTTTAATTATTTATATTTATCTTAAAGAATTCCAAAGCAATTAACTAATTTAAACACAAACGATTTATTATGTACAACTTTAATTTGTTTATCCAAAATAAAAATAATATCATGAATTATCATATTGAAATTTTTATATTGGTAATCTAACCTTATTAATTTCAATTGAATAAATGTTTCACAAAATCAGAAAATCCTGGTTAAAAATTAGTTAAAATAACATCCGATAAATAATAAATGATCTTCAGTTTTTCTAACTTCTTCAAGAATAATGAGTAGTCACGTGGGACCTTCAAACTTAAATAGAAAGCGTTTCTCTAGAAATTTTAATAATGATAAATATATTTGTATTCCAAGTAAAAATAAAAGAACTGAAGAAGAATATGAGGAGCAAGAGGGATTAAAGTGCTCAGATACTGAAATACTTCAACTTTCTTCTAAATTACAACATTTTAATAAAAAAAAATCAACAAAAAAAGTAAAAAGACGAATAAAAGCAACAGCCAATATAAGGAAAAAAGTTGTACAACAGAAATAAGAGGAAGTATATAATAAAGATGAAAAAAATAAAAGTGATATTATTATTGCTACAAGTTCAATACCTGAAAGTGAAATACTAAAAGGAGATAGTTTTGTGTGGTATTACTTTCCTTGTTTAGAAAACTTAATTATATCTATATGTGCTGTTATTATGCATAGAGTTCCAGACGAGTCAAATTAACTCACGAGTCAGATAAGCTGAGTTGAGTTTAAATCAAGTTGAGTTTATGTTTTTTTTGATTTGATGATTTGTGAATCAAGCCAAATTCAAGTCAAGTTAAATATTTAATTCGATTCAATTTAAACTTGACTTGATTCGAGTTAACTCGAGCTAACTCAAGTTGACTTGAATAATAAAAAAAATCGTTCAAGAAGAACGATAATGAATCGTTCAAGAAAAATGATAAAAAAATTATTTAAGAATGATAACAAATTGTTCAACTTGAACGATAAAAAATCATTCAAGAAGAACAATAACAAATCGTTCAACTTGAATGATAAAAAAAATTGTTCAAGAAGAACAATGACAAATCGTTCGACTTAAACAATAAAAAAAATCGTTCAAGAAGAATAATAACAAATTGTTCAACTTGAACGATAAAAAAATCGTTTAAGAAGAACAATAACAAATCGTTCAATTTAAACGATGATAAATCGTTTACTCTTCTTCCCCCCTCTCCCCTCCCGATCTTTTCATTTTTTTTTATTATTTTTTTATTTTATTTTTTTATTAATTAAATGTTTATAAAAATTTA